ATATATATATATACATAATGAAGAACGATTTCATTTTAGTTTTTTGTATTTTATGCAGGCTTTTCGGTTGGTTCCATTTCTTGTGAAAAAAACGAAGTGATACATAGAAAAATATTCAATTTTGAAAATTCTGAAATTAATTTAATATAAAGCGTTTAATAATTATTTTTCTTCATGTTAAAGAGAAAATATTAGTAACATAGAATATCCCTTAGAAATAGGTGATTTAAAAAAAATTATAATATTGAATACAAGAGCTATGAACCTTATCAATACAATGGAAAAGATCTTTTAAGATTTACTCTCTAATTATCTTTACTATTTCTTTATTTATTTATTTTTTTTTATTGAAAAATTTAAACTCAAAATTTTCTCCAAATATAATGTGTAATTCAAAGAATATCTTACTAATGAAGACATACTATTAATTACCTCTCTATTATAATTAACGATTTTTTTTAACAATTCTATCAAGGGTCTCTACAAAAAAAAATGAGTTTGATTTTGATCACCTCAATATATAAATATATAAATAAATAAATTTCCATAGAAGTGATGTTGAGGGGGATTTTTTAATACATTAAATACAGTATATTGTTTTTCAATTTTTTTAACTATTAAAAACAAGAAAAAAATAATACAAGAATTTTTTTTCTCAGTATTCATAAATTAAATATTCTTTAATTTTTTTTCTTGCAATATTCTTAAAAGAATATTTTTAAGACCTGTATATAATAATAATAATAAAATCCAGTATCCCTCCATAATTTTACATATGAATTTATTTATTATTATTTTTAATAAAGCTATTCTTTGTTTCAATTAAAGAGATGTTTGAATTTAATTAGTTCGGTGTTTGTATGTATTTGCATACTCATTATTTGTTTCTTTGATGTACCAAGTTATGAATTTACAATAAAATGTTTGTATATATTTATATAGATATGTCTAAAGAAATAAACATAATAGATTTACTTGTGCTGTTAATAAATTCGGTCTTTAGTTTGTAAGAACTATAATATTTATAAATAATAAATATTTATTTCTAATATACAACTATATATATTAATATAGTTATAGTTATAACTAGAATAAAAATTATAATTGTAATAAATGATTAAATTTAGAATATATTAATATAGTATATACTATAGTTATGACAAGAATAAATATCTATTTCATAAAAAAATTTATGTTTAAGCTTACAACTGTTAAAAACTTAACATTTTCTGTTTTTTGAAGCAGATGTTTCACTTATTTTTTTATGTATTTAATTATTTAAATTTTAAAAATAAATTAATATGTGATAATTATATATGATATGTAATAAAATTTATTCTGAGTCAATCTTATATTCTAGAAAACACGTTGCTTGTAATACAATCAATACTAATCTTATTTCCTGAAACTTAAACTAAATTTAAAATTATTTATATAATATTGAAATGGATATTTAAGACATTAACTAAAATATTTATCTTAAGATATTTTGATTCTTTTATGGTCGTATTACATACTTATTTATTGAATTTAGTAAAATTTTATATTATAAAAAGTTTCTTATATTTTTAACATCCACAAAGTATTATATTTTTGTTTAACATTAAATAATCACAATGGATTTATATTAATAAAAATAAATATTACCAATTACTTAAATTAATATACAATAAGGATTTCTTAAATTTTTAATTCACTTGTATTCATAAGTATATGATTCAACAAATAAATAATAATTTTTTTTATAAAATATTTTAGTACAAACTGCAATAAGTCAATTTACATTTCAATATTTTTCTTATATTTTTTTATTTGAATAAATCTTCAAAATATATCTCATATTCATCAACTTTAAAACTAATACATTTATAAAAATTTATAAAAATTGAAGCTTGAATAATGAGTATTTTTTTTAATATCAATAATATATACAAATTAGATAATATGTTTATTTTGGCTATTTGAGAATACTATTGCATGATAATTCTGTAGCAAAAATAATATAATGATACTTTTATTTTGTATTTTCTAGGTAATTGTTTCAAACTTAGATTGAAATTCATACAACACAATTAAATCTTACATATTACACTACATAAACACTAATTATCTTATCAAATCAAATATGAAGTTTAAAAGATAATACCATTTTATTTATTTTTACTTTAATTCTATTTTTGTCTTGTTATTTATAATTGTAAAATATGCTTATTAAAACATATTTTTTAAAATTAAAAGATAATTTTGATTTAAAATTTAAAATATAAATAAATATATCAAATTTATATTTTTAAATTTTTAATCATATTTATATTATTTAATATATAAAAATATTTCTAATAATTAAGTGTAAAAAATGCAATCTTTTGGTTGTATGAGTCTACATTAGTTTATATCAGCCTCATTATCATTTAAGTAAATGTATAAAAATCTCTATCTTATCATACCATGAAAGTAATATATACTACATTTAATGATGAAAATCCATTATTATCAAATTTATTTATTTAATATATCTACTTATATGTATATAAGTAAAAAAAATTAAGTAGTCATAAACTTATTTAATTATAATTTTTGAAAAATTTAACATCAAAATATAGAGGTATTGTAAATCATTTCCTAATTGTACATATGGTTTTTAGATTCAATAACATCTTTGAAGGTTTAGAAATATTTTTAAGTTTATTGTAACTATTGTAATTTTAAAAAATAGAACTATAAACAAAAATATATCATATTTCAATGCTAAAAAAGATTAAAAAAATCAATTGTAATTTTATTGACTTTTAAATAGGATCACTAAAAAAACGTTTCGTACATCATTATTGAAATTTTATAATAATTTTAAAACCTAAAAGCTCAAACAATCCAAATCTAAAATCTAATAATTTTGTTTGTACTGTATATGGTGTGCAATCTCACAAGAATGACATGATTTTTTATACTTTCTTTCAAAATAAAAATAAAAAAACTTATTCCTTTGTTATTGTAAAGCAAAGCTTTACATGATTCTCCAAAATCTAGCCTTCTATCCAATACATCAATTGCATCTAGATAATATCTAAATTTAGAAAATTTTATGATACATAGATAAAATTATACAATGTGATCAACTTGAAAGAGTTTTGAACTTATGAACTTTAATTTTAAGATAGAAATCCATACATCATTGCATTTTGAGTGTATATGGAATACAAAAAAATGTTTAATAGCCTAGAATACTATTGAAACTAAGAGGAATAATCAAAAATATCTATGCAAGAATATTCAGCTTTAGATTTTATAAACTCAATGCAAACCATATTTTTTATCTAGTAAAAAATTAAATTTTTTGAGTGGTACAAATTCATTGGTTAAATTATGGATTTGCACAAAATACAAAAATATGATTTTATTAATTTGGTTGTAAGTATAATCCTTGAATGTTATTGATTATGCATTCTCACACACACACACACACACATATATATATATATATATATATATATACATACATGCATATACAATGCATTCCATCATAAAGGAAAGCAAGTCATGGTTTGCCTAATTAAGAATCAGCTCTCCTCTGTCGTACCCAAAATGACAGTATTAACAACAGGACCTCAATTTGCTGCACCATAACTCACTATTACACCACCAGCAGAAGACTTTGGCAATTAGGGTTTGCTAAACTAGGAATTAGGGCAATCAGAATGAAGTCCTGTGCAGAGAGGAAAATAAAACAAAACAAAACAAAACAAAAAAACAAAAAATAAAAGGCTTCAAAGCAAACCTATGGGGATAGGGGGGGGGGCACAAGAGCTGAATTAAAATACTTATATACATATATATATATATATATATGAATTTGTAGGGGGGGACACTGTAAGCCCACAGTGACATCTTGTCCACCTTTGAAGGCAGCATGTGAAGTAATTGTTTCAATGCATTCATTGGACATAGACTTCCCCTTTGCCCTTCTGGTGCCACTTCCTCTTCCCCCCCCCAATTTCTTATACTTAAATATTTTATTCTTATTTATTTGCTAACCAATCTATGCTTATTAAACTCACCTTTTGGTTGGTTCTCTCTATCCATCTACCTATCTACCAATAAATAAATACACACTCGTGTACATGGAAATGTATGAAATGGCTACATCAAACAAAAACACACTCACACACACACACACACACACACAAGTATGCAATGTTGTTCAACAACATTGGTATAGTAGATTTCATTATTTGAGGATTTGGTGGACTTTCAAGCCTGTTTTAATGTTTGAAAGAAAGGGAAAAGGGGCGGGAAAAAAATCAAAAGAAAAAGAAAAAGAAAAGAAAAAGGAGGAAGATTGTGTTGACAATTTGATATAATCTTTCATGTACCATTACCCAAATCATCAAGTTATTTGATTTTTTTGTTTCATATGCATAATGCAACACAGAAAAACATGCCTTTTCAGTCTTTCAAATATTTTTAGAACATTGATTTTTTTCCTAAATCCTATCAAAACCACAAAACATGTCTACTGGGAAAGAAAATTATCCATCCATCCACATACACACAAACACCCAAACACACACACGTCTGGATGAATATATAAATAGAAACTCTGATTGATGTGAAGTTGAACACAGTATGAAACCCAGACCCAAACCCACAAAAAACCCACGGCGAGTTATGACAAGCAGGTGTGGATGTAAGAGCTGCGGACAAGGGCTTGAGTGTGCAGCGGCGATAGACAGGATGCCGCCGCATGCAACCGCTACTGCAGACGCGCGTCTATGACCGTCAGAGATAGCGGTAGCGCCAGCTGTAGGGAGGCGGGAAGCCGCGGACGGGCGGCGCGAGGAGGTATGTGTCGGTGGATCAGACATCGGGTGGGCAGGCCAGGGCTGGGCAGGGGAGGCCCGACAAGGCAGGCCCCCCCCCCACGACGATGGCGTGTCATCGTTAATTCTAGATTACAACGAGCGGCGAGGTGTGAGAAATAGTGACGAGCGAGGGGAGGAGAGGGGAGAGTGGAGAATGAATGAATGAGTGAGTGAGTGACTACCGCAGCTTCGGTAACAGTGGGACGGAGGAACAGGAGGAGGAGGATGAGGGGGCCACGCAGAGGTTGCGTTTGGCTTTTGTTCCTGAGCCACTACTGCCGTGATCAAGGTGGTTGTGGTTGCTGCTGCTACCGCTGCTGCTCCTGGTGGCTGGCTCGCTGGCTGGCTGGCGGGGTGAGCTGGTGAGGATATATAGAGCTCTGCACCTCTTGGCCCAAAGGCTTACTCGATGAGAACTTGCGTAACCGGACTAGCTGCGATTTTGCTGCCTCGCGGTGCTCGCTGTGGCCTCCGTGATCTATGCGCGTCCGTGCCTGAGTGAGACGGGGAGATCCGACCACAGAGCGCGAGAGAGAGAGAGCGCGGGGGTGGGGAGAGCTTTGCCTCGTCGGAGAGCGTTGCAGTGACTCGCAGCTAGTGGCGATGAGTGAATCCTCGGGCTAGAGTTTGGGAAGATCGGAAGGCGGTTGAGTAGGTGGCTGTGCGTGGATGTGGTGGAGACGGGGACCAGCTCTGCAGAATTGAAACGGCTCGAGATTTTTCTTTACGTTTCAGTAGATTCGTAAACTGCAGACGTTTAGAGCTGGCCGAGGAGCAGTTTCGGGGCGGCGACGTGGAGATCTGCCACTGTTGCAACCGTAGTCGTCTCGCTGGAATCACAGGTTCAATGCGGGAACTTCCTAGCGCGGCAATGTTGGGGCAGCCCAGGCTATTCCGGTATAATTCTTAGGCAGCAACCAGACTTATCAGAGGTGCAGGGGGTGTTCAATCCCAGCACTGCGAGGCTTGACATGGCGAGTAACGTCGGCAGAGGGGGTTACAGTCGCGGTGGGTCCAATGTCGTGCCTGTGCGCAACGACAGCTCCACCGACACCTTAGTTGCCATGCTTGCTTCCTGCTCTCCTGTTGCTCTTCAAGGTTTGTTCTGTGAACAGTTCTACTGCAGCTAGATAGATACGTCCACTCAAGTTAGCGCATAATTTTGCAGCAAATCACCAGAGTGCGGTGTGAGGACTCTGACTGGAGAAAGAGTCATAGAAAGCTGCACATTACAGTACCATGAGACAGTTCATGGTTTCGATGATTGAATATTATGCCAGTAGTTTGCCTGATTTATTTATTTATTTCTCCGATGGGGAGTTTGCTGTTGGGTGGCTAGTTGGTAATTGATTACAGCTGACCTTCCGTAGTCCGTTGTAAGCACTCCCCACTGGCAATCTGACGTGTTTGAGTTACCTCTAAAACGTTTTTCTGGGATCATAATGCATTTTGCAGTACAACGTACTGGTGGAAGCTTGGAGGATGCAGTGGTAAGCTGTGGGCAGAAGCGCTCCTTCTTCCCCTTGTTTGAAGCCTCGAGGGAAGATGCCGGAGACGAGGATCTGGGAGATGACTGCACCCACAATGTGGAGAAGAAGAGGAGGCTCACTTTCGATCAGGTCAGGTCGCTGGAGCTCAACTTTGAGGTGGAGAACAAGCTTGAGCCTGAGCGGAAAATGCAGCTTGCCAAGGAGCTTGGTCTGCAGCCGAGGCAAGTGGCAGTGTGGTTCCAGAACCGTCGCGCACGATGGAAGACAAAGCAGCTCGAGCGTGATTATGAGGTCCTTACTTTGGATTACAACCGGCTTAAGAGCGAATTTGAGGCTGTGTTGCAGGAGAAGCAAGAGCTTCAGGGCGAGGTGAGGCTCTGGGCAATCTCAACAAACCAAGATATACGTAGTTCCATGTTTCAAGTTCCACTTGAACGTTCCTAGAATCTTGGAGAGATGTTTGTCCGAGCCCTTGACCTGCATTGAACCGGGACTCCCAAGTGGTCTTGGGAAACTTAGTAATTAAAGAAGCTGATTTTTTCTAGCATATTGTTAATTTTGGACAGATGGAGTGTCTGACGGGGAGGTTGCAGACGTCACCCCAACTTGCCTCAGGCGATGGTGTGTCAGAAAAACCTTCTAAGAAATCATCGAAAGCAGTGGCGTCTCAACTTTCGCTCCAAAAGATGGTATCCGAAGAGTGTGTGAAGTTAGAGAGTAAGCCTCAGGACCCAAACGACAGTAGCAACGATGACAAGGAGGAAGGCTCCCGAGCCACAAGCTCAGATAGCATTTCTAGTGGGATTCTGGACGCGGACAGTCCTCTCACCACAGAAATGATCACTACCACCACTTTGCCACATATTTCAATCCACGTCGCCGCAGAGATGCCCCTGAGCTCCAATATCATCAACATGAGCGACAATCTCTGCAACCAAATGCTGTCCCCCCATGCTTGCCAGCAGATTTCTGTGAAGCTTGAGGACGGCTCGTCTCAGGACGAATCTTCTAGTAATTACATCCTGACGCAGTTGGACGAGGAAAGGGGTTTGCCCTGGTGGGATTGGCCTTGACTGGATCGTGCGGCGGAACTCGAAAACGCCTTCGTGAGATTCGTCTATTCTTTTGAATCCAGTTGTTATTTTCCAGGCACTACCATCGCCAGCACAACCGATTTGTTCGATCTGGTGCATGGTGGTCCAGATGCAGCGCTGAAAGCCTTGATCTGTTATCGCTACCAGATTACTCAGCATTCGTCCTGTGAGCCTAAGTGTTATATATCATATCTTAGAGAAACCAGGTTCTGCTGTTGTAAGTCATTTCCATGATGCTAGACTAGGAGTCCGAAATGATGCAACATCAGATCAAATAAATTTTTTGCTCCTGAAAGACAACACTAATGTGCCAGATCATCTGATGTAGAACTTACTGAAATAACAAATGGGACGGATCTGCAGTGTCAGAACTGTGTCCAAGCCTGTAACTTATTACCGATTTGAAATGGGCTCCAAGTACGTTAATCAATTCTAGATAGCTGAAATGAGCTTGAGAATCTTTTCTCTTGAGGAAGATGAGCTCAGCTTCATCTTGTGTGAGCCTTAAAACTGGAGATGAAGACTTGTACATTTGCACGTGGTTCGAAACAGGGACATGAACGTGGGTGAATACATTTGACATAATAATTACATAGCTTTGGTTATTGTTACTTTGAGTTTTCACTCTTAATGGTGCTGTTATCACGTCATGACACTTCCCTAGTCAAGAGAGAATCTAGATACACACATACAGCTAAGATGCCCAAGTGGGTAATCAATCATGTACGCGTATACACTTGCATATATATATATATATATATATATGTCTATCTATCTATACATACATATATACATACATACATTCGCACAGATTCACACACCCACACACAGCGAGAGAGAGAGCGATATGAAATTTACAGACATTCTTCTTACTCGTAACTCGTGCCTCACTTTGGTTGATTTTCAGGTTGATGTTCTTGGAATTCTCTGTAATATGATTTGGCCCTCTTGTGATCAAATTCTTTTGTTGATGATCTACTTTATGACTTAACAGAGACCATTCAGGTGCTCCCGCGACTGCTTCCAGCCATGGCAGAGAAGATCCACTTTGTCCTCACCAGTGATGTCACACTAGACATCCTTGCAGGTTTTGAAAGCTTAACGAGAATATTTTTAAAAGAATATTTTTATTAAATTGAAAAAAAACACCAGAAGCATAGCTGTTTCCCATGCGATGTTGGCGAGGGTTTGGCGTGCTCGCTCTTCTCTCGAGAGGTTTTGTCCAAGTGGTCTGACACCATAGAAACCCCATGCACAGCTTTCAGGTGGCCGAGTCACAAGCCCCAGGGCTAGCATGGAGCAGAATCTGTCAGCCCAGAGCTGACAAGATAAGCTCTCGTGCTCTTCCAAAGGGCCTCTGCTGTAGTAATCCTGTCAAGCCTGCTCGCGTGCATATCACGCGGGAATTCAAGCTCACCTGGAGCGCATGAACGCGCCATAAAAACCGCGACTGCCAGTCAGTTCCCTTGCCTCCAAGCTCGCGACCCACAAAAGGCTGGACACCGGTAGCAGGCCCAGAGATCTCGACCAGCATCCTGGTGCATCGCAAGGAGGCAAGGGACACACCTCCAGGGAGAGTCTCCTCGTGGAGTGCGAGAGGAGGCCTCCAATCTCTCAATCATTGTGCCCACATTCTCGACCTCCAGCGCCATCGCAGAGAGCTGTGGGGCTACTGACGCAACCTCGACGCCATACGACCCTCTTTCTTCCTTCCTTCCTTCCTTTCCCTGCCCCCATCACGGCATCGTGGCCCCACGACTTGCAACGATTGGACCAAATTAACCAAAAAACACCGCAGCACCAGCTTTGTCATTCTCCTGGCTGACTTCGTGGTAGCCACCTCCACCTCTCGATCGCTCCCTCGCTCCCTCTCTCTCTCTCAACTACCGAGTTACCGAGCGCAGGTGTGAGCGTAGTTTCATTCTCGCGGTGTTTCTGTCTCCGAGAGCTTTGTTTCTACGGTCCTCTCGCTGCCGCCCTTGGGCTCCCGACGCTGATGCTGCTTGCAACAACTCAGGGTCTCGTGGACCCTGAGTTTCACCCCGAGTTTTGCCACGTTCTTCTGCTCTCCTTCCACCATGTTGAGAAGTTTAACACCAATGACGTCCACATTTGCTTACTGTTCTTGTATTTGTGTGTGTATTAGCAGAAAATTTGTGCTCAATCTTCAGCATAGAAACTGTTCTTGTACTTAAAGTATTTTTTTAAAAGAAAACGGGCTTTTGAAAAATAATTTTAGCATTTTTAAAAACTAAAATCTTGCTTTCAACAATACACATTTCAAAATAATAAGAGAATCATGGAAAGAAAAAGCAAAATAACCAAAACTTTCAGTGCAAAAAGAAAAGAAATGAGATTGAACAAACAAAAGAAGTTAAAGAAAAAGATAACTAGGAAGAAGTCATAGAATAATTTCAGAACAAGAAAAGAAAAATGAATAAAAATAAAAATAAAAATTACAGAACTTAAACTAAAATATTGGAAAAATCATAAACATTCTCAACCACATATTTGGAAATCTATTGAAAAAAATTGATTAGAAATAATAATAATAATAATAATCATAAGAGACACAACAACGTACAAACCCAAGGCTACATACAAAAGTACTTGTTCCCATCTGAAAGGGAGATTTCACTTACATGGGAACCCTTTGAAGAGCCCCAGGTTCTTAACTCACTTGCAACAGTTTCATCCAACAACAACAAAAACTATATATATATATATATATAACTTATAAAAAAACTTTTAAAATAAATAAATAAATAAATAAATAAATAAATAAATTCTGGGCACTTTGCAAAGTTGGGTGCACTTCCCTCGATGGGCACCAAACAATCTGCAACCAATGAGGGACCTGCCCACACCTGGACTCTCACTGTGTCCCACTGCCCCAAGCCAAAATATATCACATAACATACAATACAAAACATAACATAACATTCATTCAACATGGGGCCGCATGACCAACCCGCATGCCCGTTCCACATTGTGAGGCTCCCCTCACCGTGCAAGGTAAGTGTGGGAATTATGCATGGAACCGTCATGGGGCTGTGGAATTTTATTCATTGTATGGCTAAGTAGTACAAGTCCCATTTTATTTGCTGACACCCACAGTTTTTATTTTATTTTTATTTTGTTTATGCCTTGTCTGCTGCTCCACAACCAGACCACATTCTCTCACAGATGGATAGAATATCCCTTGCTGACCTGGCATCATGAAATAGGGTTCTTCATTCATTCATCCAAACACCCCCCCCCCAGCTCTCTGCTTGATTGCCTGATAATGTGGGTCGTACTACCATTATTGTTCATTGATTCCTTTATTTTTTTTCCTTTTTCATATTTTATTTTTTCTTCCTTTATTTGATATTTACTGTTATGGTGTGTGTCCTTTGCATACTGTGCTTGTGGGACAAGTGTTGTAGGTCTCTTTTGGCACATAGTTCAACTTTTTGGGTTTGGATGATTTGTTGTCTATTGATGTGGCATAGTGGATGAAATTTTGAGTTTTTGTTTCTCTCTCTTTCCCTTTGTTTTATTCTTTGTTGGTTCATTACCCATCATAGATCATTCTCAAGTGTCACTGTTTGATTTGAAGGTGGTCTTCCTCAAACAATCAAACGAAAACATTTTTTTAATAAAAAAAGCTACTAAACAAACGGTTAAGATATATAAGTTTATTTCTTATTGGGTTCTGAAAAATTAAAATATTATTACACAAATCTACACACACAAGTGTATTTTCATACATACATACATACATACATACATATAAAGAAATAGAGAGAGATACATATGTGTGAATGGATAGAAGCTTGTGCTGCCAAATACATGAATGATTATTTGATATCACAAGACATGCAATTTGTGTAAATGAAAAGACTTCAGCATGAAACAAAATGAACAAACAATACTGAAACAACCTAAGCAATATGACAGCTGAATAAAAGACAAAGAGCATGAAAAATGAATCCAATTTGGGTGTTTGATGCAATATTGAGCAACCAAGTGCCACATCAACAATGTAGAAGGTTTAGTCATTTGCATGGATAATGCAAAGACATGAAGGAAGAATGTGCTAAGGACATACTAAATCAAATGTATGTTGGATCAAATAAATCCAAATGTTACATACTTGTACCTCATTTTGTGTATAAATAAATAAATAAATATCAAAGATGTGGAAATTTTATTTTGAATCCAATTAATATTACTATATTTCATTTTTATTTTTATTTTCATAAAAAAGTTGTGTTCTTTTTTCCAAATTTTTTTTAGAAGAGTATTTACTTTACAAAAAATATCCAAGTTATATCTAAATAGGTTTTAGATAATTTTTATATAACATTGTCAGTTATAAATGAGCTTGGTTATGTTATCATTTATTTCCATTCACTCATTTTCATGTTAAGTATATATATATATATATATATTTATAATACTTGTAGCCATAGTAAAAAATATGTTGTATATATTTTATAGCTTTGGTATAAAATTAAGTTCATGAATGGCCTTGGAGCCCTTCTTAAACTAAACTTCTTAATATTTTTTTAAACAATGGGATGATTTGTTATATAAATCTTCGACTAGAGATCAATCTTAAATCCAAAAAAATATCCTAATTCTAAACTTTATGAAAACCTCTTGGAAAATTGACATAAGTATATCTATATTGTACAAATTTATATTAAAGTAAGTAGATGTGTATATTGTTAAAGTAATGCAATGAACTTAGTTTTTTAATATAATTTTTACCTTAAAATATATAATATTTAGGATTTTTCTAAATAAAAAAATATATGTATATATATGTGTAATTTATTGATATTAGAATATAAAAATAAATTAAAATATTAAAGATATTTAGAAGGATTTAATTATTTTAAAATAATTTATCAGTGTAAATGAATTATAAAAGAAAATAACATTAAAAAATATAAAATTTTAATTATACTTTCAATTATAAATAATATAATAAAAGTCCTAATATATACTAAAGTATTTACATATAATAGGCTTTTTAATAAATATATACTCTTGATAAGATTATTAGAAGTCATTTTTTTATTAATTACTTCTCATTAAAAAATTCAGGAAAAATAGATTAAAAATAGATTTAAAATTATATAAGTCTAGTACAACATTGTCTTAAGTAATATTTTTTAAGACAATGTACAAAGAAAAAAATACAAATAGTTATATTTAATAAAATAAAATAAAATAGTGTCAATTTTTTTATTTAATATTTATATTCCAAAAATTGTAAGATTTGAGTTTAATAGCTGGACCTACTGTATGCTTTTAATCTGGAAGAATGATTTAAAATTTTGTATAATAATTTTTTATTTTGTGTAATATTATTATTTTTCTCATTATGACTATCTTTAATAAATAGTTTGTTAATAAATTATTAAAAAAATCTCATTCTGAGTCAAGGTTGCAGTCTCAATCATTATCTTGTTATAACTGTTAAATCCATCTTTATAATTCACAACAATGCTTAGATTACAGTACATGCAAAACTTTCTTTTGCAAGAATGTTTTAAAGTTTTTTGATTTTATTTTTATACATTATGATTTAAAACACACCAACTCAAAAAAACGTATGAATTTGGGAAAAATTCCAATAAATAAAACATATAAGTTAATAGTAACAAACCTTAAATAGACCCAATTACACAACTCTTGTTTGTAAAATAGATAACAAGATTATCTACAATTTATATTTAAGAATTGTCTTTATTTAGCTGCAGCATACCAAATGATACCTCTTTCTACATTTCTATCATCAATTATAAAATGTAAAGTGTAGAAAAATTACTCAAAGCCAAATATATTGTATTTTTGAATTTGAATATATATATATATATATATATATATATATATAATTTGTAATCAAACATTTGTTACACTCTTTATTAGGTAGACTAGCAAGTTTAAATTGGTTTTTTCAATATTTCATCAATCAAAATAACTACTAGTTTAAAACTATTTCTGCAATACAATGAATTCATTATTTATAAAGAGGCCATAAATTTATAAAAATTTGGTCAACTAATACAACCACTTTAATTTATGCACCTCATTTAATCAATATTTTTTAATAAAACATTGACTATCAACACCACACATCATATCACCTAGAATTTCTTTTTGCTATTATCAAAAAAAGTAAGATACCAAAATACAATCTATTTAGAATATCAATCAACCAATTAATACTATAAATTATAAAACTTATAATATATATGATTATCTTACTTTATATTAAAATATACACCTAAAATCTATTATTATAGAAGTTTGTAATTTGTAATGGTAATTAGAAAAAAAAAATTCTGTTATAATTTATTAGACTAATTTTAATTTTATCATAATAAAAATTGATAATAATTTTACTTTTAATATAAATTCAAAAATATATTCCTCGAAAAATCTTGTTACTACTAAATTATTAACCTATTATGTGATATCAATATCTTGTGCATAAAAATTATACTATTTTCTTAATTTTTAAACTTAATCAATAATATTTTAAAGAAATTAAATGAAGAACATTAGTATAGAGATATGAATTAAATAGGATGTATTTTCATTTAAATTATATTATAGTAAGATTAATTAGAATATAATATATTAAATGAGACTAATTCTCAATAACTTTAAAAGAAGACTTTTAAAATATCTATGTACAAAAATAATAATTGTTTTTTTATTAATTCTAAGAAAGAAAGTTTATTTATGTTGATATAAAAAGTGGCTTATATAATAATTTTATTACACATGTTTTAAACTATTTAATCTTCTATTTTATAAACCATAGATTTTAGACAGTTCTAAGCATTCTTATATTCTTTTTGACTTAGGTGAAATTTTCTTAGAAATTTCTAATATAAAAATTAGAAGTAATATTAAGTTTGATTTTTTTTCAAAAAATCTACATGTAGTAAGTTGATGAACTAGTCTTGTTAAGAAATATTTAATAATTTGGCCAACTACCTTTGTTAAGAAGTTTTACTAGAAAAAATTTCTTTTAGAATAGCTGACAAGACATTAGAAATTTGGACTAAAGCAATTTTTAATCTTGTATTCTAATAAGTGTTCTATTGCCTTAATAATAAAAGCATATTTGTTGTATTACAACTTAAGGTTTTTTACTTAAGCTTTATATATTTTTGGCATAAAATTCTTCATTTTAGATTTGAACAATCTTGTTACTACTAAATATATTTCTCGAACAATCTTATTTCACCAATTCTGTGAGAAGTCGAAATGATCGAATCCAAGAAAAAATTACAAAGTTCATTCAACTATTTGTAGCTGAAGTTCACACTATTACTTTATGTTGAATGAAGCACAGATTCTTGGTTTGGCCGAAACGGAGCTATACCCACAAATCATACAAGCACAAATGCTTCACCATATGTGAAAATCAGACTGCAAGCAGTCATTTACGTGCCCTTGTTGAAAGCCTTAATGACAGGTTTTAACGTCGAAAGGAGAATAAATTCCTTCAAAAGGCCTAAAGCTGTGAGGTTCGAGGAGTTAAGTACAGAGTATGCCACAAGCCTCGACAAACCTGGAATGAATAGGAAGAATCAAGATAGATTCTTAATAGAAAAGAAATGAAGAAGCTCGCTAAAAGGTCACTTGAGAATCTAGTGCAGATACTCTTTGTCGTGATGGGAAAGATGTAGAAATGCAGAAACAATACAACTCCCTCATATAGCAGTGCAGCAAATGGAATTGAACGATCTGAGTGGAATTTGAGGAAAGAGGAAAGACCAATCATGTCGTGCACAAAATGTTTCGACTCGCAACCCTTTCAATCCAAATGCCCAAATACAAAATGTCTTCCAAGGACAACACTAAGATCTCTTTTTGAAAATCAAGGAAAATGGTTGGCCATACAAAATCCCAGCTAAGTCGCCTCAGAAAACTGTAGTAAATGCTGGATCAATCCTTTCACTTGTATACAGATTAAATCAGAACTAACCCCCCCTCGTGCCACTAATCGAATATTTTGGCGAGCAAGTTTCTCTTCTTGCCATGTCTTTCGTGGGTATCTTGGTAGTAACCTGAGAGCTCAGCAACAGGTGAGCGGTAAGTAACGGACGTCCAGTAAATGATGCCGCGCAAGGATCAACAAAATTTCTGAAGCTGAGGGGAAGGTAGGAACGGTGATTTAGATCTATACCAACTGAAGTTACAAATAACCAGTCTAGCAAACCTCAGCATATTGTCAGCGTCAGCAATCAACTTGCACTGTTTACTAATGTCTAAGTATTAGAATAATAACCAAATATCTTAATCGTTCCAACATCCACTTTACATTCTAATCAATTTCCAGACTATTTCAGCACTCAACGCAGAGAGTCTGACATTCACAAAATAAAATGCAGAATACAGCCACTATGTACCTTTTCCAAGGACCCTTGACTGGAAAAAGCCATTCAGTATCGAATACAAGCCTAGCAGACTTAATTCAGTTCAACTCAAGACAAATGAAACACGTTGAAGAGAAACGAAGTTTAACGTGACAGACACAAAATGATACAGAAACTCACTTCCCACAGGATAGATTGAGTTGTAATGGATTTCAGCCCAGAAGCTTAAATATATCTCTGCATACACGACCACGTCCCAAAATAAACACTAGTCAGAGAAGCTGTAGGTTTCTAAGATTATGAGCACAACGACAGAGTTAGAACATACGGAATAAGTTCATCCTGGTCAAATGACACACTGTAGACGGCTGGATGGTAGGAAATGAGACCTCTTGGAGACTTTTGTTGTTCGGGTATAATCTCAATGAAGCAGGTGTCCCTGAACGAGGTGATTAGAGAGATCTTGACGCCAAACTGCACTCAACACCCACCCGCAAGCTTGAGTAGCCCATTATGTAACATATCTAAGTAGAACCACATCAGTAACACTAATCTTAAAGAAGAAAGTCCATGTGGAAAATAGAGAACCTGCTACAGATCCTGCCAAATGTATACAAAATCCTGATCTATTTAACAAGATAACAACCTAAAACGATAAGGAAAGTATGAGTACATGATCAGACGCCGCTTGCAAAGTTACGTGATCACCCCACTCACTGTTCCTGCAATTTCCGTTGTTATTAGTATACTCCCACTATGTCACGAACTCACAATACATACAAACACAATCAGGAAAATCCACATAATTCGAGGAGACCTACTTGGCCATTTTCTTCAAGTAATCCGAATATTTCATGGGCACGTAATTTGAGTACACCTCTGGGTTTGCCTTCAGCTGTCCCCAACCCAATACACAAGTAATGTTCAACTGGCGCTCGCGTGGAAGTAGTGTTAATAAAGGAACAGAGCATAACCCTAGATTTTATAACAATTTGAGGATAGGAATCCAGAAAAATTGACAAACTCTCGAACTAGCAGCGGCACTTGTTTCACAACGCTCAAAGCAAAAGAAAAGCAGAAAATAAATTCGATGCATATGAAAATGTACGTTGCTGCATGCAATAGAATTTGTGACTGCTGAGCTGTAGAGAATAATGGACCTGCTTCACAACTAGCTTCCTCACATACTTGTGAAGTTCTGGATTGCGATACAGTTGATCTGAAAGAGCACGAAACTGTCACAGACAGAGAACATAAATTCTTCAGGTTGGACATAATCCAAAACAGTCCAAATCCGAAAAAGAAAGACAACAATTCCACTTCAGAACTTAAGAGTCAAATGGGTCGAGCGACAAAATCGTGTCAATTGGTCTGCCACTACCACGGAGGCATACTGATGTCCTTGGCGACGAGAGAATCTGTACCTGACAGTTGCCATCACCTTTGATCTTTTGCTCTGTCAATCCGTACAATACCAGCCTGTGAACATACAATGTGGCACATGCTTGCAGTCATTAAATACGCACTTTGACGAGACCGATCCACACCACTACAGCGCATGCTCAGGTAAATGGAAATTTGACGATTACATCGAGAGTCCAGATGAGCGAAGAGTTTACCTATCCAGAAGCCGTTGGTGATCAGCAGACGCGTCCTCATAAGTAGGAAACGACTGATTTGTTCGAGGAACATGCTGCAGATATAAAATCAAGAAGAAAATAAATGAAATGAAATAATAAGAAAGTGGAGAGACTTCCAGTACAAAAATATAAATATAAATATAAATAAATAAATAAATAAATGAAAAAAATCCGAAAGCGTGTGCATATCGGCATTGATCATCTTGACTTGGCCGTGGAAATGAAGAACTGAAGTCATGTAGACTGCAGAACACACCTTCAAAGATTCCAGCTTCGTAAGCCGATTCGCGACCTCTCGGTCCAAGCGTTGATACTCTTCAGAAAGTGCTAATGCCATTTGTCTATCATCATCATCGAGCGAATATGGGTCTTGTGAGCTTGAGACAGTTGATGGATTCGACAAAGAACCTGTGTTTCGCCTATCCATGTCTTCCTTGGAATTTTCGCAGTAGTGAACAGTCACGTGTCCGTAGGGATTCCCTACTGAAGCCGAAGAGGACGCTGAAGCACCTTTTTCAACAGGATCCGAACTCCCTTCCCCAGAACTGGTGTCACTTGCTGCACTTTCAACCCAATTCTGCACAAGAACTGCTTCCTGATCCAATGACGCGACAATCCAAAATCAGCACCACGGTTTACCATGCTTTCCAATTTGAGTCCGGTACAAGCCACCTTCATGAATGCCTCAAAGATTAAGGTTAACTGTAAAGGTATAATAATCAAGCCTTCGCACACAGAAGCTGTTCCAGCTAAAACGAGCGTCGCACAAGTCATCCTGTCTACAAACAACGGCAGGCCATCTGCATTGTTGCAACAGTGTAACCTTCATTTTCTACTGCCCTATGATTGATCAGCGGGTAAATACAAGAGAGGACACCCGATCGCACCTTGTCTTTGGCGCAAGCCTGTCCAGCAGCTTCAGCGGCAGCTAATTTTTGAAATTCTTCATGCAGCGCCTGAGCAATCACCGCGTCGTTGGCAGTAGTTGGCGATGGTGGAATTGGTGGCGGAGAAAATTGAAAAGGAACAGAAATTTCTTCATTTTGCTCTACTTCTTCAGCTCTAACGACTTCTCCAACTGCAACTTGAATTCCTTCATTCACCCAGTAGAGAACAGGAGCAGTAGGATCGTAATTGTTTTGAACAGTGGTTTCGACTACTACATTCACTGATGCGGTGCCACTGGTTCCTGCATCATTTGCAACATACCCGCTGCCCTCAAGCTCATGAAGGCCCCATCTCACTAAGTCATCTCTCACCATCTCCCAATACCACCTTCAAAGGTCTCTGAAACCTCCAACAGCGTCTAAGCACTGGCCGAATATCAGTGATCCAGTGAGAGTGACACAGCATATGTTCTTTACGATATCTAACAAACTAGTCTGGCGTTGAACCCGCTCAATTAGAATGATAAGTTTCTCGCATCCCCCGCAATTCCCTGGCCTTCCTCATGGTTGTTCCTATTCCAAGCCCACATGACCGCTCCCATTCAACCGCTACATATTCCTATACTGCAACAATACGATGAATTACGATTTGCCACAGCTTGTGCAATTTCGCCCCACTGTTCCCCAAATATAGGACTCCACGTCATCGACACGGCAAAAGATCTACTGAAACTCCTACTGCCCTAAAACATGATTCCAATTTCTCAAAATTCACCCCAAACATACAAAAAAGAGGGGGTTTCTCGAGGTGGGCAACCTACCGGTGAAGCTCTCATCACGCTCTCATCATACTCTCGCAGCCATCGCCACAACCCAATTGCCCGAAAATTTCTCAAATCCCAAATCCACACCCACACCCACACCCACAACACGAGAATCACTAATCACCTCAGGAACTCAATTCAATCTTCCAGAGAGACATCTGAGGCACTTAATGAAACCCGGGTTCGGTGCTGCTGGAGGAGAAACTAGAGGGCGGAGCGTAGGAAAGAGGCGAAACGGCGGCTTGACGGAAACGACTAATCAGTCTCGACTTAATTGCAAGCCATGACGCGCATCGCGGAGCTGGTGAGCCGGGATTCAACGGACAAGCACAGAGAGTGGCGTGCAGAGGAGGGTTGGAATGGCGTTGCGGGGACGGGGAGGGGAAGAGGTCGCGGAGAACTAGACGTAGATGATGGTGGAGCAGAGTAAGCAATCAATCAAGCACGCAAGCAGGCATACACGGAGGGCACGATGCCGGTCTCGCTTGCGCTGCCAACTACACGGGACGCGTTGTTCGACGCCTACCTCGCGCGATTAGGTGCCTCACCCCGGCCGGCGCCCCCTTCCCATCACCCCCAGCCCCCACCTCCGCCCCGCTGGTTGATACCCTCCCACAGACCGACTAGTTATGAAACGGATATGAGATGGGAACAGATCGACGCTTAATTGAAACCCGCCGTCGAAGGTGATGAGGAAGGGTTTACGTGCAGGTCGGTTGATTGACACCCGCAGGCCTGGACACAGGATCGGATATCGTGACTCAGAAGTACATACCCATGCCGTGTTTTCACCTAACGCCACATTTATTTCGGTCATTGTCGCAAGAAATTGCAGTTTGCTTGTCTGTTCATTTATTTGTATGTGAGCAATAAAGAAAATCCTTGAAGTTGAAAATTGTGACCTAAAAAAGAATTGTTTGTTTTTTTAAAGTTTAGATAGAACAAATTTGCAACAAGATTTCTTAAGATTGTTAGTTTTTTTTTTTTTTTTTTTTTTTTGGTTCTTTATATATGCTTTATTGATCTATATAAATTTCATTGTTGTCCATGAGGTTTACATTTATTATTTTAATGACTTAAGATTGAATTTGGTAGATAGATTCGCAATCAAATTGGTTTCAAAACTAAAGCCTACAAAGCCTTTTTATAACGTGGTATGGATAAGATAATTGTATTATTGACGTGTAAAGATGGATAATTGTGGTTGTTTTTGAGAAGTTTTTAGAAGTTTTTAGAATTAGGTTGGTGGTTCATATAGGATCCACCATAGAACAACTTAGAAGAATTAAGGATAGTTATCTAAGTGGAGTCCATGTCTAGAACCTTCTAAGAGGGCAATAATCAAGGTAGGATCTACTTTTAGAATCTTTTAGAATGAAAATTATCTTAGAAGAGTCCACCATTAAGGACATTCTAGAAAGTTTCAAGATACTTGGACAAAATATAAATAAGATTGAATGAGGCCATTTGAAGCATTTCGTCAAATATGGCTTCAATCTCTTTCTCTCAATAAAGTTTGATTTTTATTTTTTGTTCTATTATATTCTATTATATTTCCTTTTGCTCTATTTTTTATTTCATATTCTATTTTATTTACTTCTATTTAGTTTTATTCTAGTCCATTTTGTCCTATTTTGTGATAGAATTTATGTTGCTATAGACTAGAAGGATTTTAGATCTTTAAGAGAATTTGGTCCTATTTCATTGGTATTAAAGCAAATATTAGTTTGTTCTTTGGTAGTATATAAATAGTCACTATTTAGTTAGAGGCTAATTATTGTGATTACACTAGTTATTATTTTTAGGCTAATATGAGCTATTTTTAAGAAGTCAATTAGAAAGGTAGAAGGCATTACGATAGCAAAGTTTGGCAAAGAAATTATAGCATAGAAGATATGGTGAAGCCATCTCAAATGGGAGCTCAAGTGCAATACCTTGTAGACTAGATAGCTACTGTGCAAGGACAAATAGAAGCTTCTAGGATAAAGAAGGTAACATTTATTAGACTAAAATTAAACAAGTTCAAAATATATTTTGGAACTTTAAGGTAAGAAGTTATATGCCAACAGCTCTTTAGGATGTGACAATACCTCCAACTATTTGAGGCAAGTACGACTCAAGGAATTATATATGTAGCTAGGTATTTAAGGTATATGGTAGTAATTTGGTAGCGACATTAAGCTCAAAACTATCGAACTTAAAGTAGATTTTGTAACGAAGAGTAGTTTGAAACCAAATTTAGAAATCAATTTTGATTCATCAATATAGAGAAGTTAGCACGTAATTAATTAGCAAATCTTATACAATCTAAGTCAATGCAAGTTTATATCTGTCTATTCATGTTTTTATGTCTCCAAATTGGCAACATTTTAGAGGTAGAGATGATGGATTAGTTTGTATAAGTGTTGAAACCTTACATTCAATAAGAGTAGAATTAAAGGATCCGCAAATATTTAAGGAGGCAATTAGGATTGTAAAGAAGATTGATGCTATAGATTTTAGAAATCATGGAATATGATCTATAAAACAAAATCCTATACCACTATCAAATACTATGGCATAACAACGAACATCCATGGTAATTGATGCAATACAAGGACCATTGACACCATAGAGACAACAAATATTGGCACAGAAGGGATTATATTATCATTATTGGGAGCCAGGCTATCAGATCAAAGATTGTTCAAAGAGTCAAAATTTTGATACCAACAAATTAAGGTAGATTTATAATCTCAAGTCTCACCAAGATAATAAAGAAGATAACAAAGCTCAGATATGAAGTTATCTTTGATATGCCATAGCTAGAAGTGGGAAGTAAGCAAGTTGATTGAGTAATAAGGAAACTTTTCTTCAAAGATGGTGGATGCAAGGTGACTCTTTGTACCTCTACATTGAGTGAGGTAACAAAAAAATTTGTGATTAAAAGCTTACTTGTAGAGATCATCTTTATGAAGAAACAAATATAACATAAGCAATTGATATATATAGTCATTTCAAATCTTGCTCCAATGGTAGAAAAGACAACCAAAGGAGCAGGATAGATAGAGCAACTCATACATGAATATGAGGATATTTTTCCAATTGACTTACTTAGTGGCATGCCACTTGATGAAGGCATCTCTTTTCAAATAGAATTATTGCTTGAAGCCAAATTGACAAGTTGGCCAATTTATCACCTAACACCAAATGAACTTAAAGAGCTACTAAAGACATTGGAGTAACTCTTAGAGCATGACCTTATTTTAAAAAGTACATCACCATAGGAAGCACTTGAGCTCTTTGAATTCAAAAAAGATGGTGGACTTTGTCTTTCCATCGATTATTAAGGCCTTAATAAACAAAATTTTAAGAATGTATATCTACTTCTACTAATGGATGATCTTCTTCACTAACTTTGAGATACAACTATCTTTAGTAAATTGGATCTTTATGATGGCTATTAAAAAATACCTATTACAAAAGGAGATATTGAAAAGATGGCATTTTGTATACATTATAGATATTTTAAATGACTTATTTTATCTTTTGGCCTCACCAATGTTCCAACCTCTTTCATAGATCACATGAACAAATTATTTTGAGATCTTTTGGATAAGTATATAGTTGTATTCATTGATAATATCATATTCTATAGTAAAATCCTTAAAGAGTATGAGCAACACCTATAAGAAGTGTTGTGTTGACTATAAGATAATTACTTCTATTGCAAGTAATCAAAGTGTGAACTTTGGAAGTAGGAAGTCATCTTTTTAAGACATGTAGTATGCTTTGAGGATATACATATAGAACATGATAAGGTGAAAGTAGTCGAAGATTGGCCAATCCTTAGGGATGCTTCTAAAGTTTGGTCATTCTAAGGCCTTATTAGATATTATGGCCGTTTTGTTTGGCAATTTTTACTTATTGGTACCTCATTGACAAGCTTATTGGAGAAAGGTGCCCTATTTAAATGGAAACTAGAACAGCAAAGTATCTTTGATAGCTTGAAAGAAGCACTCATTATTGCTCTAATATTGCAATTGTATGATTTCAATATTCTTTGTATAATTGACATTGATGCTTTCGACTTTGCTATTGGAACAATCCATTAATAAGTTTTTGGTAGGGACCTTCAAACTTTGCCATATGAAATACACAAGTTCAAAAGGATAGAGCAGAATTACTCTATATGTGATCAAAAACAATTAGTAATTATTCATACCACAAAAGAGTGGCAATATTATTTTTTGGAGAAGCCAATGATTTTTCAGATTTTCCATCAATTCCTTCTATACAATTTGTATCTAAAAAATATGAAATAACAACATCATCATTGAAAAAAATAATTGTAGCTTTTTAACATTTAGCTTGAGTACAAGCAAGAAAAATAATATATTGAACTAGACAACTTATTACAGAGACTAAACTTAAAGGCCAAATCAGAGAACAAGACAAAAGTCACTACTATTAGTAGTGACATTTCAAACCTAATCAAAGAAGTAGAATAGAAAGAAACTACACATTGAAATGCATATTTTAAGATGATTAGCAATTAGATGAAGATGGATAATATATAATATCAAGATTAAAGTCTCAATGATGGCTTACTCTATTTTAAGAAGTAAATTTATATACTAAACAATATTATATTCCAAAAATAAATACTTCAAGAGAGACACAATATTCTAATATTTAGGCATCTAAGATGTGAAAAGACTTCAGAATGAATCTTAAAGATATAGTTTTGGATAGATTTGGACTATAATTAAACTTTTGTGCATTCTTGCAATATCATATGAATGTAACAAATCACACAACGTAACATCTTTTAAGCTAGTATAATCAATTCTACTACCTACGACATGTTGGAAGCAAGTAATCATAGACCTCATTATGTGTTTGTCACAAATGCCTCAGAATTATACCATAGTTGTTGTCTTTGTGGATCGACTCTTGAAGCAATTCTATTTGGCTAGAGTGCAATCTAATATTGATGCTCGAGTACTTGCATTGATCTTCTTTGTCATTGTCTTTCATCACTATAGGTTATCTTCTATCATCATTTCAAATCAAGATCCATATTTTATGAGGAGTTTTTGGTAAGCCTTATTCAAGCTACTAGGCACACCACTTGTCATATTCATGGCCTTCTATCTTCAAATGGATGGAAAAATGGAGCATGTAAATTGAACCTTGGAAAATATACTACAGATATTTGTAATAGTTCACCATAATGACTGGGATGAATATTTGATGACCTTGGAATTTGCTTATAATGATAATATTCAAAGAAGTACTAATCATTCATTATTCTTTTTTAATACCAATCAACATCTAATTATGCCAACAACTCTCTATCATCCTATTGATACTAATAACATGATAATAAAAGAGTTTATATAACAATTTATAACTACCTTGTAAGAAATACAACACTACCTCCTTACTATATAGAATTGACAAAAGTAATATGCAGATAACCACCAACAACATAAGACCTTATGGAAAGATAACCAAGTATTATTGTCTAATGCTGACTTTTCACTTGCTAC